TTTAAGACCAGTTACTCTGTTAGTAGGAGAAATTCATCACTCATTAAATACAGGGCAAGCATGGCTATTCATAATAATTTTGAGTGCAATGCAGTCTTATAAATTTAATGTACACACTTTATTTAAATGATGCAAACAGCCATATGAAATTGCACATGATTAGAAAACAGGATGAATTCATTTTGCCTCCTGCTTGGTTTCTCATAAACATGAATACATAATATTGTTATGCACTGTTGTTCATAGATGTCTTATTACATAAAGGGTAAGTATCATATTACTTTAACAGATTATTTTTGGAATTCTGCATGTTATTTTTTGTTTCATCAGATATGTGCCCCAATTAAATAACATTCTTTCAAAAAAAATGAAAGTATTAGAAAACTTGTCATGTTAATTTTGAAAAAAATTGAAGTGTAGTACATATTACTAGATAGGATGTCATTCCACTGGTCTATAAAAAAAACTGTTCTTGAAAATTGAAGCATTACCTTGTGTAATTAATAAAGTACATCAAATCAGATTTGTAAATAAAATATTGTTTAAATCTAAAGTATTCAATATTTTGATTAGATTATTTTTTTAAGGAAAAATATTTAACGTGTATGTGCCGAATTTTTTTTTAAATAGTTTTTTATAATTGCAATGGAAGGGCAATTGTCTCATTACAAGTGGTACAGAAGCCAATAAATACTTGGGTTACCATAGATATATAAACAAGTAAAAACTGTGGAACAAGTTTTAAGCTCATTTTGGAAAAAAAAAAAACAGTTCTGTAGAAATGCATATTTGTATTTGTTTCTCTAATAAATCTGCAAATAGCTTTAAACAGAAATTAGTTTTAATTATTTAAATTATGAGTTCTGTTAAGTAATTTAACATCTGTTTTGCCTTACATTTGTGAAAACATTGTCTCATGGAAATTAATAGAGGCTTATTGTGGAAATCAAGGTAGGTCTGCATTTATTCAAAAAAGGGCAGGTATTTAGTATTTGAGTATATTTACCTCTACGAAACAAAGAATTTTTACAGAAACAGCACTTCTTCCCCCTCCCTCCCCACAGAATCACATCAGTTTGGCCACTGCTCCAAACCATAAAAGACCAATTTGCATCAGCTTTAACTCAATATCAGATCCAAGACCAACAAATAAGTGATATCATATCTAATTGACATCATGTTTAAATGGTTGATAAAACATTGTTTGATACAGATAATTGATTATATATAGCAATGAAGAAATGTGGACTCTTCTGAACCACAGTGCCTCAATCTTCTTTGATGTGATTTACACATTATGATTAAAATTGTTACGTAAAACATATATTTCCCTTGAATTGTGACTTTATAATAATGCATATTGAACATGTCTTAGGATAAAATGCAATCATCTGTTCCTTTTATTAAATAATGTTGACTCCTCATTTTATAAAAACTGCTTTGTAGAGGATAGACATACTAGAATAAATATTGATGTGTGTGTGTATATATATATATATAAAGTTGTCATTCTGCTTGAGCAGAAATGCTAAGCTTTTAGTTAGGAACTCAATTGAGTATTCCAATCCTATTGAACTACAAAGAGTATTCAAATTATAATGAAAACTTTGGCTTTACCAGTTTATTTTTATTAGTAAAATGTTTTGGGAGATCTGGTTTATGAAAACTTTAAGCATTTTCTAAGAGTGTCATTCATTGGCTTATCCAATATAACAGCTTTTGGTCAATAACAAAAGTACCATCTCTGGTCAGTATTAAAAATGATGGATAATTACATCATTTGCTTTCTTTAAAGAAATTATTGTAACCGAAATTTCAAAATAATGACTTCTCAAAATTTCCACACTTTTAATGTTGTATTATTTTTTCTAAATATTAATATACATCAAGGTAGATAAAGTAATGTGTTAAAAATATTTTAATATATTTTTACCAAAACATCTTGGATAGATTTCATGTATTTCCATATTTTGTGTTGTCTATTTTAGGAGATAAATGCTGAAAAAGGCTCTGATTAGAGGAAGCCCATGGACTTGTAATGAGACCAATCCATGCTGAAATTGTATTGTAAAATAACCATTACTTTTAGAGTTTAAAGCATAGACAAGAATTGAATTGTAATTTTAAAAAAATATTGGTTATATATATTATATATATAAGTTATATATATAAGTTAAAAAAATTATATATATATATTAGTTAAAAAAATTAACTTACATATCATTTTAAAAAATATAAAGAAAACCAAACAAACTGTTTTGAATCTAGTAAATCAAAGGCTAATCATCTTATTTTCCAAAATATCTTAGGATAAAAAATAAAAACCTTCTCCTGTCAATTCTGTACAGGATATATTTTGTGAAGTTCAAGTTTCTAGTAAAAAGTGTTTGCTAATAAATTCACCACTTTAGAAGACACAACTCTTAGAAATCTTTAACATTTTTATCTTATGTCAAGATTATGGATTTTTTGGGGAGAGGGGAGATGTTTATACACAGGCAGATAGAAAGAGGATAGAGGCAATTATCAGGACCGTTTGCGTTCAAAGTACTTGTTTTATAAAAAATGATTTGGAAGGCCAAATACTCAATTAGCTAGTTTCAATTAGATTTTCTCATCACTTTGCCAGTAGAAGGATAACCTTTGCGGATGAACTTCCTGTGAAGTTTGACTTCATGAATTCTGGAAAATGTTACTTCTATGTGCACTATAACGACTTAATCTAAATTAGAGAACTTTACAAAATTCATTTGTTTTTTATCTTCCAGTTCATGAAACTGATTTTTTATACATTCTATCAGATAGCTAAAGATAACCATTGTTCATTTTCTTAAGAATATGCTTGTAATTTCCCAACTGACTTTTCTTATTTATGATAGAATAGTTTTTTTCTAGATATTAAAGATATTGAAGGTTTTATGATGATTATAATGGTGGATTTTCTTTTTTCTTAAACTTTCTGGAAAATTTTAGATACTGATGGATCCAGTCATCAGTATGCTAAAAAATATATCCTGTACAAACTTTTAATCTGTTAGGCATTAGTTTTCATGTGGATTTCTTCATTGTGAACAAA